ACCCTCATCCTCCTCGACCAAGCTGAGCTCCTCGGACACCGCGCTGCTGCAGCTCCCCCCAGTCTGACGCCCAGAATTCCTCTTCCGGAACCTGTAGGCTCTTGACTGCTCCTCGAACCCGGCCGGGTCTCTTCCTCGGCTGAGGACGACTCTCTCTCTCCTCAACCTCGTGGAGATAGCCTGCCTCTCGGGCCGGAACTTCAAGGTCCTCCGGGACTTCGGCCACCTCCACAATGTCCCCAGTATGGAAGAACTTCCCAGTCTTAAGCTCTTGGACGAAGTAGCCAGGTGTCGTCAACGACATTGTGACCGCTGGACGTAGGATTCTCACCTGAGTCCTCGTAGTGGAGAGGTACTTCTGCCGATCACTATACAGCTTCCTCTTGGCCCACACCTGTTGACCGAACTGAGCCAGTTCTCGCCGCTTCAACCCCATCGACTCCAGCTGCCTCCTCATCTTGCATTCGGACCAGTGTCTAGCGGCATGGCACCAATAGCCCTCATCCAACCCTGCAGCCAAGAGGAGTGTTCTCGCGCCCCTTTTCACCTGTGCCACTGCGCATTCTGCTCTTCCATTTCCTCGGAAGTTGTCGGCATCGGTGAAGGTGCGCATCACGTTTCTCTCACGACACCAACGGTCGAATGCGCGAGACTGATACTCGCCTGCCCGATCCGAGTGAAGCCGCAGGACAGGAAGACCCAAAAACCTCAGCCTTGCGTGGAAGCGGCTGATCGCCTCCACCACTGCCTGCCCACCACGGTTCTCCAAGATCTCGGTCATAGTGATCTGCTTGACCGTGAAGTCTGTCTCCTTCTCCACTTTCTCGAGCCAGGCCTCATCGTCCCCATCTCCCGGCCACGAACTCCCCACCTCCTCAGTCGCTTCCTCCGCCACCGTGGTGAGCTCTGGTCCATCCCCAATGGCTCCAGGGAGTTCATCATCCTCGTTGATCGGGATCAAGGTCTGGCCGTCTTTGGAGACCGGAACCAGGTAGACACCGATGAGGAGGTACCTGCCTCGACCAAGTTGATCGTCCGCCTCCTGGAAAGGTCCAGCTGTGTCTATCGACAGCGTGTACGAGTCAGGATGTGGGATCCGCTTGTGTGCACGCCCACGTGAGGCGGCGACAACACACGACTTGCATTCTCTGGAGTACGGTATATGACCGTTGAGAAGATGTTTTTTCCAGGCCACAAATTCCATTCGCTTGACCAAGCCTTCAGGTTGTTGGAGAGCATCTCGAATCCCCGCGACCACTCCAGCCTTGAGACCAGGTGCCCATGCCGACCAGGTCCGACTCTGCTTAATGCGCTCCGCCAAGTCCTCCGCCAGCGCCCTGCCCCGGGTCCTCGAAGGTCCTGGAGCTCCGCCAACTTCGGGATGTTCGTTCCCAGTCGCGTGGGCTTCCTCCGAGGGTGACCCATGGGGCCTTGGTCGAAGCAGACCTCCATCATGTTCCATCGCTTCTTGAAGCTTTTCCACTCCGGCCAACTCCAGTAAGAGGCATAGCGCTGCAGCTTCTTCTCTTCTTCCCTGATGTACTCCTCGGGGTCCTCGGGCTGCTCCAAGACCGACAGGGTCACCTGGGACTTCCTTGCCGTCGCCGCTCGATGGTACAGGTAGAGCTGCCTGAGGTAGAGAATCGTATCATCCTCTACCTGCTTCTGAAGATACCTGTCCAACTGGGGCAAGCCAAACCGATATGGGCCCTCCCTTTCCCTCAGCGGCGGGGGTCCAGGCTGTCGATATCGAAGACGGCTCATTGTTCTACATGGTGGACCTCCCAGCAGCGTGCACAAGGTGCCACTGTCGGCGATGTCCAGCAAGTAGGCAAAGACATCGTCCCTCAAGAGGTTCATGGCCGGATTGATCACTGTGTCCACGCAAAGAACCACCCGGTTCTCCGCCTCGAGTTCCTTCTGCCAGAACTGCTTAGAATCCCCACTGAACAGGTGGATCACGACCTCCTTCGCCTCTCGAACTCTCCTTCGCTCGTGGCGGTTCCACGGAAGCCCTTCTCCTGTCCACCCCTTCTTCGGCAGCAGCCGCTCCAGCATGTGATGTGGTACTTGAGGAAAGAGTTCCTTCAGTTCTCCCAAGTGCCACGCTTCTTGATCGCTCACCTCCAACCCCGTCTCCTCTCCGGCCAGAAATGCCAGGCGAGCTCGAATCTCCTGAATGAGCTCGATGGCCAGATCCTCACTGATCGTGGGGCAAGAGTTCTCGATCCTCGTATCCAGGGTGATCCCGGCGGGGTCCGTCAGCTCGAAACGAGTCTTTTCCCACACCGCTTCATCCAGCGGCACGATGACTTGGACGTCCTCCTTAGTCAACAGGGTCTTAGTCCACGGGAGCAACCTCAGCACCACCGATCCAGCCGCCAGCTCCACATTGACCTCCTGGCCCCTTTGCCACTCTTCTTCGTTCGCTGCCCGTCTCAAGCAGTGGGTCGCCCCACCGTCCAATAAGGCCCGTCCTCCTTCACGGACTTCAAGGCTGCTCAGACGGATCGTCTTGATCGAGGTGGCCGGTCTCAGGCTCTTCAGGAGCGTGGTCGCTTCATTCAAGAGGTCCTTGACATCTCCGGCCGTCCCCGCGCCTCGATCCCCTTCATTGGGTGCCACTGAGTCACCAGCCTCACTCCCCCCAGTCTTCGCCATGGGCTCCGCAGTCTCCGCTTTCACAGGCTGTGCGTTCTTTTCCTTCACAACCTTCACCACTGGCTTCTCTGGCGTCGAACCCTTCGGCTTCATCACTGGGCAGTCTCTTTTCGCACGCCCTTGGGCCGAGCATCATCTCCCTTTCTTCTCAATGCCAGTCCAGTCGTGCTTGAACTTGCAATCTTGTCCCCTCCAGCACCCCTCCTCAGAGCCCCAGAAGCGGCACACCTTCTCCGTCGTCTCATTCTTCACCCTATAGGCTGAGCTCTTGTCCAGCTTCTCCTCTAGGGTCGTGGCCATTGCCTTGACCTTCACCGTTGTAGGCGGCTTCACCTCCTCAACCGGCATCGGATCCCCCAGCGCCAGCGTCTCCGCCTCTGCCAACAGCGAGTCCGCAAAGCCCAACACCGATGCAAGGGTAGGCGTCACATCCACCCCCAGCGTAGCCCTCGTCGAACTCACTCGGAAGGCTGCTTGACTTGATGCCTTCACCACTGGTGCTGACATGCGGTCCACAGCCCCAAGCAGTAGCGTGGCGTCTGGTGTGGTGATGTCCAGCTCCTGAGCCCGTCTCAAGCTGCGCCTCCAGCCTCTCAGGATCTCCAACAACTCCGTGACATTCCCAGGCGTCTTCGGCTCGACGAGGGATCTCAGCAACCTTGATCTCTCTGCCAGCCCTCCAGGTTGATATCGACGGAAGAGCGCAAACATCACCTCCGTTGAGCTGGTAGTCCTACTCGCAAGGATCTCGGACTTCACCCCGCTTGGGACGGCGTTCAGCAGCATCAGTTGTCCTCGCTGCTCCAGTCGTGCCCAACCTCCATGACGTTCAGCCAAGGCTCGAGGTCGAACATAGAGCTTCTGGACCGGCTCAGCTCTCAGCCATTCCTGGTAGGCTTCCATCGCAGACCTCATGACCTCTTCCCACCACATCCAACTGTTGGTTGAGAGGTCCTTCATGGTTGGTGACGCCAGTTGAATCCAATCTCCCAAGATTAGGCTTCCCAGGTCACCCTCCTTGAGGTCTGCCAATTGGGGTAGGTCCACCGATCGGATGTTCTCACCCATCCACGACGACCCATCACTTCCACCTTGTCCCAACTGCCTCAACACCGTATGAGCAGCTTGCTCCAGCGGCGACCCAGCTTGATGGGCCCTGCTGTGGTGATGCTCTGCACCTAGTTCCATCCCCAGATCGCCACGTCGTTGGCCTCCCGGATGTAGTCCTTTCCCATGACCTTCCCAAGAATCGGGCACTTGTGGTACTCCCGAACGAGGATCTTGTCCAGGCCAGATGGACCAATTCTCTCCCCTTGGTCCTGGAGTCCTCGGAGTAGCCCCAACCGGAAACTCAGGCATCCTTCCCAAGTCGACCCATGCCTGACTCTCAAAGTGTTGTTCCGAAGGCGGTGGTGTACTGGTAGTGGTCTCGGGGTCGAGTTCTTCACCTCCTGATTCTCCTTCAACTCCACCTTCTTCTTCAACTCGTTGAGCTCCTTCTTCAGGGATGCGTTCTGAGTGAGGACTGCCCTGAGCACCTCCTGCACATCCACAAAGGTCCCCTGGCCGCCATCCTCAGGCTCCACCCGGCTAGCAGCACCAGTCTCCTCCGTGGGTCCCAGTGACGCTGGCCTCATCGCTCTTAAGATGGCCTCACCCTGCATCCGCTCCGACCAGAACAGGTTCACCAGCGTTGACTGCTGGATCGACCCCTGGCCCTTTCCATCCTTGCCCGCTCTCCTCGTTGGTCCATAGGAGACAGGCGGTCCCACTGCCAATGCAGTCTGCCTGACTGCCACTGCGTCCTTGGCGTCCTCGATCGCCAGCTGCTCTGCCTCTTCTTCCGCGCTCTGCATGCCACCGCCGCTGCCGTCTGGCGTTCCTGCACTCGCCGCAGCATCTTGGCCGCCAGCAGCCTTCGGCGCAGCTGCCTTTGCCGCCACCTTCGCAGCCGCAGCCGGCATGGGGACCAACAACCGTGCTGACCTCGTGTCAGTCACGGGTGGACTTCGGAAAAAAGCTTGGGCTCATAACCCGTGTGTCCTGCAGCGGACTTTTTCTGCTCCAAAAAAGGGCTCCGGTAAAGTATGCGATCCGACATGGTACACACTCGATTTGTGCACCGAAGCCTAGCAAACTTGGTACACTTCTCATGTACCTCAAACCTCGCTTGGTGCACCTGCAATTCTAACCCCTGCGGCGCAATTGTTCAACGTCAAACATTATATCAGCTGTCGACGCTATGAGTTCTGCCATTCAATTGGTAGCAAGGTTCTGTTTTCTCTCTGCTTGTTGATTTACACTCCCTTTGTGGGCACGTGGTGGTTTGAGTGTGCTAGGTGCCCAATGAGAGCTGCGGGCTGCTGCTCACACGCCGTGTGCTTTGCTCGGTGGACGACCAGCAGGAAGCGCTGCAGGAAATCTTCCGAGTGCTGAAACCAGGCAAGCCCGTTCTGCGAGTCCACGATAAACAGGACAACAGTTCTTGTTTGCTACGTTCCAGCTGTATCAACAAGGTAGACAATCCTAAGCGAACAAGACTTTGTGAGTTGTGGAGTCACGAAATGAAAACCGTAATGAGGTAAGATCAAGTCCACAAGGGGCAGCAACTTTGGACAAAACCTGCGCCTGGAACCTGGATGTGCCAAAGGATCCAAACATGTTGGAGTTGAGGAGGTGATATGGTGACGATCACACCCGACAATGAACACCTCAGTGAATAGATGCAAACAGAAGTTGAGGCTTTGTGCAGATCCTTGCCTGGCTGCCCTTGCGGCGCTTTCACTGCTTGGTTGTTTCAGTGACCGTTGCCTCCATCATTGCTGGGAAGAAAAGCCTTGCTGGCACCTGCGCTTGTTTACAATAAGCGTGCTTTCTGTCGAAATACGCGTGCCCAAACGCACCTTTTCAGAGCAGTGCCAATTCTCACCACGTAGCATTGCGGCTCAGAGGAAAAAGGTCCGTAGGTGCGCGGCTGCACTGCAGCAGAAAGATGAAGCCGAAGCTGAGAAGCTACACCAGGTTTAGATGAACGAGAAGATTGAGGAGTTGAAGCAACTGATTGACAAGATGGTTGATGACGCCCGACAAAGCTCGTGGCAGAACTGCAGAAAGTATGAGAAACGAATGAGTCTGAGTTGCTTCAAGATCAGCTTGATGAGCTTGAGTTTTCCACCGAGATACGGAGCCACGCATCAGCAGCCAGCGCCAACTGCACCTGTGCGGACGTTTGTGGTGGAAACTCTTTTGCCAAGTCCCAGCATTCCAGGTGCGGCTCAAAGCAAGAAGACCAAAGGCTCCTGGGACATCAGTTCGAGTGGTCTGACGACCAACGTCTCGCGGTTTGAGGCTGGCGAGGTTGAGGGGTGTTGGTGGAATGGGCGTCTCTTGTCTTGCGCTGCAGCTCAAAGCCTTCTGCTCCTTTCTTGTCGCCGCAAGTCATGTAGTCGTCCTTGTAGTCGACATAGTGGGCGTGAGTCGAGCAGCAGTCAGGTGAGGAACTGAGATTGTGGACAATGTCAAGCAGACGCCTGAGGTGACAAGCAGAACTTCACCAATGAGACGGATATGTGTTTAGCGTTCCAGGACTATGACATGACGGCTATGAGCTCAGCAGATGGCGAACGTGAAGAGTCTGGCATGGATGAACGGGTTTGTTGAGGTCGCAAGCTTGTTGCTATGGGCAGCTGGCTTGAGTGAGGAGTTTCTAGCGGAAGTCCTACAGTGGCAGTCTGTTCGCGCGCAGAGGCGCAATGAACTGTTGAGCGAAGTGTTGAGACTAAAGAAGATTTTGAAGCAGCTTGAGCAAACAATGGCTCAAACAGGTCGTGCGTGCGTTGTTGACAGTTGAGTTGATGGAGCTTTCCGTGACAGCATTGAGGATTGTGTGGAGGAGGACCGGTGTTGCAGGTTGTTGGACAGCGTGGTGCATTCGCCTTGCAATGATCTGGTTGTCGAGCTGCGAGCTGGATGGCGTGTGAGAAGAGAGACTCAAGAATGGACAAGAAGAAGAAAGCAAGAAGTCGAGCAGGTTGCAGCTTCAGACGCTGATGCTTTTGAGCCTCACGCGCTACTCATGGCGTGCAGGCAGATGAGCAGCAAATGTCACAACTGGCAGCCGCAGCAACAAATGATGCAAGCGCAGCTGAACATGCTCTGACAGCTCTGACAGCAATACAGACATCGTCAGCAGAAGCTTCAAGCAGTTCAGGAGTGGTTGGAAGTCTTCAAGCTGGTTGGACGGCAGGCTCAAAGGTTTTGAGGAATTCAGATACCTTTGATGGCAGCGATCCACGTGGCCAGATGTTTTCAACTCGGTTGGTTGCGATCCTGACTAGCTACTTGAAGGGACGTTGCCTACATCTTGTGAGGTCTGGTAATGACAAGAGAGATGAATTCCACCTATATGGAAAGAATTCCATCGAGAGTATCTCCCAAGTGCAAGAGCAAGAAGCCTGGCCTTAGTGCAAGCACTGGCAGCGTACCCAGCATTCTCGAAAGCAAAGACGCTTCTTGAGAGCGTGCTCGGCTATGAACAGCTGGTTCAAGAGTTTTAAAAGGTGTCAGGAACAACATACCCGCAGGGGCTGAAAGCAGCTACACTGATTCGACGCAGTGAGATTTGCCTGAGAGAACACCTTCAGCTCACCATCAAAAGTCACAGCGGTGACCAGGTGCTTGGTTGGGTAAAGACCACATGGATCATGATCTGGTGTTGGTGAACGGCAATGAGATTGTGAGGTGCGAAGCAGTTCGTGAGACTGGACAGCGCTGGAATGGCGAGCTTTTAGTTTTAGTGAATGCCATTGTGGGCCCGTGGGGCATGAAGAGAGGAACCCACACAAAGGTTGAGACTATGGCCATTCCTGCACCTACACCAGAGTTGTTGTCAGAGGTGCCGCCAAAAAGCGTCATGAAATTCCAAAAGCTTCGCGCAGAGATCGAAAGAGGAGAGATGATGAAACAGATCAAGATGCTGAGGATGTCCGCAAGTATGCAGAGGATCACCCAGAAGAAGACAGAAACATTGAGGTTGAGAATGGGGAGACGAGCTTTGAGTAAGGCGGGGCTTCGTCGCTAGAGCTTGCTTCAGCTGGAATCTTTCCTCAGCAGCCAGAAGGAGTTGCCCAAGTGAGCTCAGATAGACGCCAGAAAGCACTCTTCGACAATACTCACTTGAACAGACCTGCAGAGCAGCAAGGAGGAGGTGCTGCAAAGATGGTGCGCTATCCAGATCTACCAATTCGAGAGCCAACTACTAAGGCACCTAGGACCTCTTCTTCCGCAATGCAGAGGAGAGTAAAGACGGAGAGAGGCAAGAAGAGTCGAAGAGATTGAGATGTATGTTGAAGATGAACCAGAAGCAGAAGGTGACGAAGATGAGGGCGCCTATGACTGGAACCGTGCCATGTCAACTAAGGCAGAAGCGTTGCTGAGTCACGAGGAGATGGAGCGAAGAGGCTTTTTCAATGAAGGAGGTGGGCCCCTGCAAGTGAGCGTTGATGAACTCCAAGTTTTGGACCAGCAAGCCATGCTGGCGGAGGTCAGCAGATTGAACGACCTCACAGTGATTGAGCAGATGAACTTGAGGAGAAATGAAGATCCAATGAGATTGGCGGGTGAAGCAGAAGTGATTTCAGAGGGTGAAGAAGAAAAAGCAGACGATGAACCAGATGACGATGAACTGCCTGGTGATGATGATGGGCGTGATCCTAACGAGACAATCCCTTGATACACCTAGACCGAGGAGAAGGATTTGGCAGAAGTTCAAAGGAGACATCGCCGCTGGCAGAGGAGAAGTTGATGTAGAACCAGGACCTGACCAAGAAGCTGAGGAAAGGCCAAGTCAAAACTTCCAGTCAGAAGGTTCACGCGCAATGGAGGCGCCCAATGATGAGGATGAAGAAGGAGAAGGCAAAGACAAAGATGCCGAGGGGAGCAGAGGCTGAAAAAGAGGCAAAGAGTGAGAAGGATGTTTTTCGACCAAGTCTGTCAGATTTGGTGGCAGACGGCCTTTTGAGCTATGGGTCGAAGCTGCAAGACATGGTCAACTGAAAACAATGAAGGAAACAGTGGCAGAGGATGGTTTGTGCTGAGATCCCTGCAGACTATGTCCTCATGGGGCATTGAAGGGATTCCTTTCAACGGTGAGGAGTTCCAAGAGATGAGGCAGAAACTGATTCGGAGTACCAGAGAAGCCCTGAACTGAGCGAGGCTAGAAGCCCAGGTCGTGCAGAAGAGAACGATAGCAATGTTTCAGAGGAAGAGATGGCAGAAGACCAAGTTCGAGCACATGGTCCTATCGAAGAAAGGACCCAGATGCTTGGATTGAGATGAGCTACTACAACACGGAGAATATAGAGACAAAGAGTCGAGAACAAGACTCCAGAGGAGGATGGCTGATGTACAAGTTCATGCGCAAGATTGTGCAATCAGTGCGCGAGTTAAGCCATGAAACAAACTCTGAGAGTGACAAAGTTTCACGATGGACTTCAGGTTGTGAAATGTGAAGGAAGGTAGGGTTCAGTGATGAACACTGACTCACTCCTAAGGCGGGGTGTGAGAAGATAGCGTGGCCGCCCTGCTGTAAGGATGAAACCTAGCCGGAAAAGTCAGCGGTTTTCAGAGTTGCTCAAAGAGCTGAAATCCAAAAGGGATGATGAGGGAAAGCCAAGGGTCAAAGAAGCAGACTCTATCGCTGGTCGGGCCCTCGTCCGATAAACCAGATGAGGCGTGGAAGTGGATCGTGGAAGTTTGGGACCCCGCTGTAAGTCGTGCTGATCTGGAACCAAAGCTTTGAAAGCCAGGAAGGAGTGTGACTGTAGACACGAAACTCACAGCTGCTCTCATGAAGCAGAAGCAGGCCAAGAAGGGGAATCAATCCAGCGGGGCAGAACGCGCTTCTACTTCAAACATCTGAGGATGCGGGCGCCCTGCGCTACACTTTGGAGGATTTACTCAAAGAAGGTAGGTTTGGACACCGCAGACCTAGCTTTTAAAGAAACACATCAACCGCTGGGACGCGGTGTTGGCCGGGATGAGAAGGAACCGGAGGAAGTATTTAACGTGAATTTTTGTTGCGACGGATCCGCCCCACACCCTTCTCAAGTACGACGTTGAATTGACACCTATGGTCGGGCAAAAGAGGGTGACCCAACAAGACCTATTCGTTCTTGGTTTCACCTCTAAGCGTATAAGGACACAGGACAGGAAGAAGGTCCTGTGTCGTGATTTTGTAAGAGGGAAATGCGCGAAGGGCAAGGACTGTCCATGCCGACGTGATAAGAAGGACAGATCCCCTTCTTGGCAGCGGACATCCCAGCCGCGAACGAAAGCCCCAGCAAAGTAAGCGTGTATCTACTTTGCCAGAGGTGATTGCCGTCGCCGTGACAAAGTGCTTTTTTAATTTCCCTGAAAAGAAAGGAGCAGCCGCGCCCAAAGATCCCGCAAGGCCAAACTCGCCAAAGCCGAACAAGGAACCTAAGCCGAAGAAACAGGCAGCTCCATGTGTTCGAGGGCAATTTGCTGGCAGCGCGACTCGCCGCAAGCACGGTTCACACCGTTACCCAAAAGCATCCCTTCGATGCCCAGGTTGGAGCGCGCGAAGCGCGGCGCAAAACATCCCATCAAAATGAGGTTGCAGAGATTGATCTCAACACTATTCCAAATCCTGTCACACCTTACGTTTTGGAGCAGACTCCATCGGTGCTCTCGATGGACCAGGGCGCCAGGCAGGTCGTCCTGACGGTAAAGCCATTGTCCTGAAATTTGCGGGTCATGGACAGCGCTGGGGCCGCTACGTTTCCTGGCAGGGTGAGTGGTGGACTCGTGGAGCCAACGGCCAATTATCTTCACGGTTGAGCCTTTGAAGACAAAGTTGCTAGCCTCACAGCTGCGCGATCTTTCTAAGAGTCAGCGTGGTCCTGCTTAATTCGGGCTCTGCTGCAATCGCAGAGGTGTTCAAAGACGCACCTTTTCAGAGCAGTGCCAATTCTCACCACCTAGCGCTGTGGCTCAGAGGAAAGAAAGGTCCGCATAGCTGCGTGGGTCAACGGCATTTGACTGGCTGGCGTTCAGTGGCTGAGATTGAATACGCGCATTCAAAAAGATGTTTGGTGTTTTGATTGTCGTGCAACTGAAGTGTACTTCCTGCTGCAGTGTGCTGCAATGTGGAAACACTGACGTTCCACTCCTTGAAGTCGAACGTGACTGCAGCGCTTTCCATGTTTGTGATGATGTTGAACACCTCAGCGCATGGTGCCCTGAAGCGATGTTCGCATATTGATTCTCAGCTAGAATTAGAGGCTGTACTACAGTTTCTGGTGTTTTCCAAGAACATCTGGCCATGGCAGCAGTGATCAACTCCCTGACTCCCTGGCCCTGTCCATGGTGTTCTTTGCACTTCGTACGGTTGACAGGTGGTGTCTTTGTCTTCATTGAACATGTGGCTGCCGAAGAGGGCTCGCCTTTGCGGGTGACGCAGGACTCGGCGCAGCTGGCTGAAAGGAAAAGACGACAAAGAGAGATCATTTTCCAACTTCCAAAGTCTTGCGCGGTTGAGTGAAGCGCCCATGGCTTTGACGTGTTTCGATTTTTGGCCATGCTGAAATGTTCTAAATGCAAAATATAGCACCAGTTGACTTCAAATTCGATGATTTTGAACAAACCTTTAATGCGCAACGAGATTGATCAGACATGGACCCATTTTCTGACTTTGTCAGGAAGTCTTCCGACCGGTCCAGCAGGCCATGGCCAACAACTGCGACATGGCACGCCTTTTGGATGCAAAGTGCGGACAAGATGGCCTCGAAATGCAAGGTGTCAGCAACCATGTTGAACTGGGAGTGAAACGCATTTTGCGACTTAAAGGCTTAGTCGAAACGCTTCTCAATTACAAAAAACTAAGCTCACCTTTCACATCGCCTCACCTTTCCTATCTTCTCTTTCATGATCCTCTCCTCAAACATCCCGAATGCGTAGTGAAGGGTTCTCGTTTATTAACTCTGGGGGTCTGGGGCGAGAGCCTTGTTCGCGACTCGTTGCTTGTGTTTGCATTCGGGTTCGTGGGTTTCATCTGGTTCTCAAGAGCATTCTGACTTGCTCGAGCTCTGCTGATTGTAGCAAGTTCCATGCGGTTGGCGCAGGGGAGACGGAGAAGGCGATCCGAGACATGCCGTGGAGCAACGTGGAGGTGGTAAACTATGAGGAGGCCTTCAATGGCCCATTGAGTCCGTCTGGATGCCCAATGGATGGATGGTGTGCGATCATTGTGTTGCGTCCTGTGCATATTTGTTCGTTTACTTTCTGGTGGATGACAGTTGAGATAGCCAGGGTCGTCAAGAACTTTGGATGCGTCATATGCCAGGGACCTTTGTCTGTTTTTGATCACATCGACCTGCATCAAACCCTGTTGGAAGATTACCGCGCAGCCGACCGGAAATCTTGACCGAGGCACATTCGGGGGTTGGCAGTGAAAGCTCGGTGACTTGTGAGACCTCAAGGTGGGGAGGTTCGAAGAGTATTCTGAGACGCCAGGCGATATACAACACTGTTAAGCTTTGGCTGGCAACAATGTTTGCAAAGCCAGAGCAGAGCCAGGGCATGTTTGGTTTGCTTTAACCCTGCCGGTTGGCAAGAGGCAACTTGGATTAGGGCAAGGTAAGTGTAAGTGTGATCAACCTACTCCCTGAATTTTGAACCCACAAATCACCAATCCTCTCAGAACGAGCAGATAGGGTCATGCAGAGTCCATTGTGAGAGCTTGAGAGTTCTTCCTTCGGAGTCTCAGAGCTGTCAAGGCCTCGAAGCCTTTGGGCGGCCTTGGGCGGTGTTGGTTGCCAAAGCTCCTAAACGCAAAGAAAAGGGTGAGCGGCCGAGCTTGGCTGGTGAGCTGCGTTCGAAGAGGATCACTAATAATCTAGCAAGGGGGAGGATGTGGTTCTCATCGCATCAGTCAACGCCTTTTCAAAAGTTATCAACATTAGTTAGATAGCAAAAGTCGGTTGTTGTCTCGGTTGTGCTTCAACATATCACCGAATTAGCCATTAGGTACCTTAAGACAGGGGTGCTTTGCCCAGAAGAATCCACAGACGCTTCGTCCCAGCCACATGGCTCTCCTCCTACATGCCTCACGTGCCATCAGAAGCACGCTGCGTGTCGTGCAACTCATTTGTCACACTGCAGGAGGGAGATGTTATGCCATGAGGGACAAGCTTTCTGTGGACAACGACCACGCCGGTCTTTTACCACCATCCATGCGGCATGCTTGCACGCATAGCGTGTGCGTAACGGTTAGCAGCTTCCCACATCCTAACAGCTCTGGTCTTGAACTCTAGCTCTGCGTCTGTGTGTCTGTGCG